TGGAGGGGGGGCGACCGGTCGTGGGGCCTGAACTCTGGGCCTGGGCGCTGTCCCTCAGCTCTTCAGCTCAAGGCTAGCACTCTGCCACTTGAGCCACAGCGCCACTTCCGGCTTTTTTCTTTTTTGCTTATGTGGTGCTGAGGAATCGAACCCAGGGCCTCAGGCATGCAAGGCAAGTGCTTTACCACTGAGTCACCTTCCCAGCCCCTTGTCATCATCTTTTTTAAGCAACCTTTTAAAACTATAAAACCATTCTTAGCTCATAGACTATAGAAAAATAACCCATGAATCAGTGGACCATGATTCCTGGGGTTTCACTTCTTGATTTTAGGGAAGAAAAAAGAGCTCAAGGGAAACACACCTCTGTGTGTGTGTGTGTGTGTGTGTGTGTGTGTGTTTTATTTGTAGTACTAGAGTTTGAATTCAGGCTTTGTGCTTGAAAACCAGTCACTCTACTATTTTAGTCATGCCTCCCTCTCTTTTGCTTTTGCAAGTGTTATGTACCCCAAATACTATATATATTTTTTTTTCATTTATTATTTTGAGTTTGTGTGTGTGTGCATGTGTGCATGTGTGTATTGCTTTCCAGTCCTGGAGCTTGAACTCAAGGCTTAGGCAGTGTCTCTTAGTTTTTTTGCTGAAGGCTGGCACTTTACCTCTTAAGACATAGTTCCTTTTCCATTTTTTTTTTTTTTTTGCTGGCTAACTGGAGATATAACTCTGATCTGTCTGCTCAGGGTGACTTTGAATCATGATCCTCATATCGCATCCTCCTGAATAGTTAAGATAACAGGTGTGAGCCACCAGCACCTAGCTTAATTATTATTATTTTGTTTATGGTACTGAGGTTGAAACAGAGGACTTACTTGGCACCATTGTACTGCTGAGTCATGCTTCCAACTTTTTTTGGTTTTTTTTTTTGCCATGGTTTTCTTTAAAATATAGTCTTGCCATTCCCCATTTGATGTTTCCTGTCATCAATAAGATAATGCATGCATCACCCAGCCCTCAGTTAAGAAAAGGTCTTATGTAGGGATGCTGTCCCTCAACTTTTATGCTCAAGGCTAACACTATATCACTTTGAGCTACACCTCCACTTCTGGCTTTTTGGTGGTAATTGGAGATATTAGTCTCAAGGATTTTCCTACTCTGGCTAGCTTTGAACCTCTATCTCCAGGTGTCAGCCTCCTAAGTAGCTAGGATTACAGGCATGAGCCATTAGCATCCAGCTATATTGTTTGTTATTGACCATGCTAGGGATTGAACCTAGAGCCCCACAGATACTATCCATGCAATCTACTACTGAGCTACCTTCCCAACCTCTGTTTGTATTATTTACAATATTAGTTACTATTTTGAAGCTGAAAACAATCTAGGATTAAAAAAAAAGTTTTAAATGTTTCACAGTTCTGGGATTTGAACTTGTGATCTCATGTGTGCTAGACAGGCACTTTACCCTTTGAGCCATGACTCCTCCAAGAACCTAAATACCTTATTAAAAGAACAAGTTATGAGTGAGGTGCTGGAGACTCTTGCCTGTATAATCCTACTTAGACAAGGGGTTAAGACAGGAAGATTAAGGGATGGTGGGGGATAGTAGGGGAAAAACAAAGGAGGGGGAAACAATGCTCAAATGGGAAATGTACTCATTACGTTACTCATGTAACTGTAACACCTGTGTACAATATTTTTACAATGAAAAATACATATTAAAAAAAAGACAGGAAGATTATGATTTGAAGACAACCCAGCAGAAAATCCCATAAGACTAACTTCCAATTAGCCGGCAAAAAGTGAGAAGTGGAGGTATGGTTCAAGTGGCAAGAGCACTGATCTTGAGCAAAAAAGCCAAGTAAGAGTGTGAGTCTCAGAATTCAAGCCCCAGAATAAGCAACAAAAAAGAAAGGAAGAAAGAAAGAAAAGAAAGGAAGGAAGGAAGGGAAGAGGAAGGAAAAGAAAAAGAAAATTACATTCTTTAAAATTAATTCTCTTACAAATGCCAAGCACTGGTGGCTCATGCCTGTAATCTTAGCTACTCAGAAGGCGGAAATCTGAAGATCATAGTTCATAAACAGTCTGAGCAGGAAAGTCTATGAGCACAAAAGTTCAGGGACAGTGCTTAGGTCCTGAGTTCAAAACTCAAGACTGGTTTTTAAAAATATATATCTTACAAATTGTGATTTCTATTGTTGGGAAATTAAATGAGAAATTATTAGAAATTATCTCCCATGTCTTACAAAGATTATCTTTTTGTAACAATGTCTAAGTGTGATGTTTATATGTATCTCTTTTAATACAGTGATTTGTACTAACCAGGTACTAGATTTTTGTACTTTTCTGCTCTTAAGCAATTTACAATTCCTTTTTTTATTTTTTAAGTATCTTACTGTTATATTTTATAGAACTGAAACCTGAACAGGTGAAGAACATGTCTGCAAGTGAGGTATACTATTTTATTATTACTATCTTTTCTTTTGGTTCTCTGTAAGACTAATAATTTTGTCAGGATTTTTTTTTTTACTTTATTTGGTTAGAATTTTTTTTTAAAAATTAACTGGTTAACTTGAAAGTAATGTGTCTATGAAAATAGTCTCATGTTCTTAGTCTTTTACTCCTTACCTAGTCAGAAAGAGAAAGGATGAGAAGATTGACTGGTTTATGTGAGGAAAACAAGTGTTAACTTGAGCTCCCCACCTGATTTGGAGAGTTATGCATAATTATTAACTAAGCCTGTCCCTCCTAGATTCCAAGATAGCTGTAGGAGACAAGTCCTCAGAGTACTGATGCAAAGTATAGGCTGAGATGTCTAGCTTTTATTCAGTCTCCCATTAATTTAAGTAACTTTTATATAAGGAGTAGGTATTCCTCAGCCCACATTGTGAAGCCTAAACTCTAGGCCTGGGCGCTGGCCCTCAGCTCTTCAGCTCAAGGCTAGCGCTCTACCACTAAGCCACCTTCCTAGCCCCACCCAAGTAAATTTTAAGCACCTGTTGCATAAAGGCTAAGGAATTATATTCTTTATTTCCTGTTTATAGAATGAGAGGTAAACATGTAGTTTGGTCTCTGAAATTGTATGCTAGAATTGTATATACCTATGATTGTTGTGTCCCGGTGTGTTTATGTGTGTTTAAGTAAATTTAGATAAGACAAACCATGTTTATCTTTTATAAAGTCCATAAGAATAAAAATTCAGTTAGGAATGAGTGGCTGATGTCTGAAATCATGGCTGCTCAGGAGGCTGAGATCTAAGAATCAAGACCCATCTTAGACAGAAAGGCCTGAGAGACTTTTATCTCCAATTAACCAGCAAAACATTGAAGGTGGAGCTGTGCCTCAAAGTGTAATGCACCAACCTTGAGCAAAAAAAAAAAAAAAAGTCACTCCTTACTTTGCACTCCTCAATTTTTCCCTCCCACCTCCACACAACCCTTTTGGCTTGACAAAAAAAAAAAAAAAAGCCAAACAAGAGTGCATGGCCCTAAGTTCATTCCCTGTAGTGGCACAAAAAATAAGAAAGGAAGGAACCACTAAGGAGGGGAGGTAAGGAAGCAGGGAGGGGAGCAATGAAGGAGGCAGGGAGGGAAGAATGCCCATACCTATGAAACTAAACAAGTAATAAAGTATGTTACCATAGTGGCTTTATAAGATGTCTTCTATAGAAACTTTGTTTAACATGTAATAATAGAAAATACATTAAAATATTTGGCTTTTTTTTTTCTTTTTGCCAGTCCTGGGGCTTTTGAACTCAGGGTTGGACACTATCCCTGAGCTTCTTTTGCTCAAGAGCAGCACTCTACCATTTGAGCCACAGCACCACTTCCAGCGTTTTCTGTTTATGTGGTACTGAGGAATTGAACTCAGGGCTTCATGCCTGCTAGGAAAGCACTCTACCACTAAACCACATTCCCAGCCCTGGCATAATTTTCTACTGTTTGTATTATAAGATAAATAAATACTACACTTTTAATTAATCAAAATAGTTACACCTAATGTGTTTATTATGGATATTATGTTTCTTTTTTTAAATCTAGATGAGAAATATTCGATTGTCTGATTTCACTGAATCCTTGAAAAAGATAAAACGCAGTGTGAGTCCTCAAACCTTGGAGGCATACATACGTTGGAACAAGGACTTTGGAGATACCACCGTTTAAAAAATTGACTTTGAAAGCCTGCAGAGCATTTTACTTAAGAAGAAACACATCTTCAATGAATATTTATCAGTTATAGACTCAGCCTAAGTTTACAGGATTTTTCAGAGTTTTACAATTATTTGTGCAGTCAACTTGAAGGTGAATGAGAAAACAAACTTAAAATATACAATGTGAATGGAAAATTTTGTTGATGGTTATGGTTATCTCAATGGGCACTGTTAAGTTAGAGCACAACAAAAATGAATCTGATCTACTTTACCAATGTAATCAAATGTAAATAATAATCTGTATATCAGGATGCAAATGAAAGTATTTCAGAGACAGTGATGGTAGAAGACACCTTTGGTGGTTTGTCTTGTTTGTTCTTTGTTTGTTTGTTCTTAAAATAGTATTTTTTTCTTAATTTTCTCTCCTACTGTCATCTTACCTATCTGTGATTGGAATACCAAACATTCTTTTAGTTTATTTTTTCTTCTTTTCTTTCTACAAATCCAGAGTGCCAAATGAAAAGTTTTTCTAATAGAAGTAGGAAAAAGCTATTTTGAGGCTTTTTTCTTTACACATTTAGTAATTAAACATTTATTTTGTTTTGTTTTGTTTTTTACTGTCTTATTACCTGCTGTGAGACAATTTAGGAAGCAATTCAAGAGCAGCAAAGCAAATTGAGTAAAATAGAGAAGGTTCTCGTTACTGTCATATTACAGGTAGATAAATCCTCCTGCAGTGTTTTTTTTCTAATAAGTCAGAAATCTTATTATAGACTGTTAACTTATTCCAGATAGTATTTGTTTTCTGCTGGAATTATTCTGATATTTAAAAGAGCCATTTGTAACTGCTATAAAAATGGTTCCATCTGACAGAAGGGAAATACTTGGAGCTAATACATTTCTAATTTGCTTATTTCTTACTGTTTACAGGATAATTACAAATGAGTGAAACTACCGTCTTTTATTCTTAATAATTATGAATCCCTTCAATGAGGCTTAAAATACTGAATTTTTATATAATTGCATACATTTTATAGATTTTGTGTGCTCAGTTTAACTAAAAAGTTCTAGTCTGTTGATCTACCTTATGTTTCCACAAACTGTACAATAATTCTGCTTGTTTGTATAAATATGCCTGCATTTTTATTATGAAAATGCATTGTAGGAAGTAGAAATTCGTATCATGGCCTTTCAGATATAATAAAGGCAAATAGATGTTTGCCCCTAGTTTACTGGCTAAAAGTTTGTTTACAGAATTTTTCTTTGGTGCTTAAAGAATGCTATGTAAAATGTCATGGGTGGAAAGAATAATTTTGTAGTAGTAATGAAGATTGTTTTTATTTAGCAAAACTGTTACGAGGGAATAAAAACACTTGCCCTACTAGATAAGAATTTTATAATGAAAATATACATTCTCCTTAATTTTATTCTTGCTATTGTTAAAGATTTAAGAAGAGAAGATATATGATTTCTTAGCATCATATGCTGTGTGTTGCCATAGCTTAAGTCATGTGTCTTTAGAACTCCCAGTATAATAAAAAATGAGAGGAAAAATAGGAGAGAAATCCACAAGAGCCAAACCTTGAAGGTTTGTACCTTGAAGGTCTCAAACATTAAAGCAAGTTTATTAAATACTGATTAAAAAATAAAGGTGATAGGTAACTAGGTGTATATGATGAAAACAATTGGAAAATCCCAAATTTCAGGCATTTTAGTAAAGCTCAAAATTTCATTTTGTTTTCAATTAGGAAGGATTAATATTATGAATATTAGACTGTTGGCTAATCATGTTGAAGTACTATGTAGGTCTAACTCAACCTTTTAAACATAATCTTTAATTTCTCATGATTATTACATTTCTATTAGGAAAGATTTTAAGTAACAAGTTTTAGATATTAAATATGTCATTAGTACCATTAACATTGAGTTGAAGTTACCTTACTGTATTAATATTTATCAGTGTATAAATTTTTCTTTGCTGATGAAGTCTGAAGTTCAGTTAGTGCTAGAGAACTATTTTCTATTTTAACCTGTGGTTCTTAAGTAGGACAGTAGTGAAAACTAAATAATGATATAGTAGGAGGTAAGGGATTGGCTTGGTCTCTTTTGGTAAAGATAGTATTTTCTGAATTGTTAGATTGTAACCTTTTCGATTTTGTCTTGATCTCTCTTATATTCCTAAAAGATGATGCATAAACATTATACACTAGTATGTTCTTCGTGTCAATATGGCAGATTTGAAAATTAAGCTTACTGATTATTTGACTTTGAGTCAAAGGAAATAATCCGATCTTTCCACATATATTAGAAGTAAAAGCTTTTTCTGAGACAGTCTGCCCATTGAGGTTATTATCCTTCTGAATTGCAAATATGTTTTGTGCTCAAGGAGAACTCAAAGAAAAGCATATAAAAAGAATCTTAATTTAAGTATGTATACAAGCAGTCTTTGTTTATAGTGTAAAATTCTTTATATTTTGTACAAAAACTAATTCTTTTGGTAAATGAATCATTTACAGTTCACTTTCCTTTATGCTTGTCTCAACTTTAGTCAGGTCTTTTGTACTTCTCTCCAGAGAAACTTAAGGATACATCCGTATTAATTGGGTTTTTATCCTAATGAATTGTAAATAAATGATGAACTTTATTTTGCCTTTAATTTTTAATTTAAAACTTTTTGAGATTTCAGAGGTTGCAGTGTGGTGATGGAGCATTTTGTAATTCTTTTTTTTTTTGGTCGGTCGTGGGGCTTGAACTCTGGGCCTGGGCGCTGTCCCTCAGCTCTTCAGCTCAAGGCCAGCGCTCTACCACTTAAGCTACAGCGCCACTTCTGGTTTTCTGGTGGTTTATTGGAGATAGGAGTCTCACGGTCTCTCCTGCCCAGGCTGACTTTGAACCTCAACCCTCAGATCTCAGCCTTCTGAGTAGCTAGGATTACAGGCGTGAGCCACCAGCGCCCGGCTTAGCATTTTGTAATTCTTGCCAATAAAAGTTATACACTCTGAACAAAATATAAAAAGCAGTGGATAGAAGGTTCTGGAGAACAGCCAACACAGTAACTGTACAGACTCCATATTGGAAGAGGTCCATTCCCCAACACCAGTTGCTTATCGGAAAGCTTCTGTAGTTTACATGGGGATACAATTCAAGCAGAACTTGTAAGTCTGAAGCAAATCTGAAGCAAAAAGTATCTGAAGTAAATTGTTAGACCGATGTAATGCTAAAATGAACACTGGAAAAACTGAACTGGAAGACATGTCAATTATCAAACCAAAGCACAGAAAAATAGAGGTTTGAGATATGTAGGACAATGCTAGTCTTTTGTACCTGTACTTTGAGAAGCAGTAGAAGGGAGGAGCTGGGCGCAGTTGGTTCATTCCTGTGAGAGACTGAGATTTAAGGATCAAGATTAAGAGTCTGTTTGTGTAGACAAATACTTGAGGGAAATGGAGGTGTGGCTCAGAAGATACAGTGCCAGTAGGGAGCAGAAAAAGCCCAGTAAGAGCCATAGGCCAACGTTCAATATCCAGTACTAGCAAGAAAAAAGAAAAGCCACTAGGGAAATACAGTGGATTCCTAAGAAATACACAACTGGTTCGAATGGAATCAAGGAAAGAAGGGATTAAAAATAAGTGAGACCATTCAGTGCTGCATCCCAAGCCTGCCAACCTGCCTACCTACAAACATGATGATCCAGCATGGTGAGAGAGCCTGAAACTTGGACAGCCACTTTAGTGACTGGTACCATGCACACCTGAGCCCTGCGGGCAGGCTCTGCAAGATATGGTTGCCAGTGGCGAAGACTTGGCACCTCAATGAGCAAGCAGCACTATTGGGCAGGGAGGGCCTGACTGGCCTCAATAAACATCCCACTACCTCCAATGGAGCCTGACCATTCGTTCTACAGCAGCATCAATAAGGATTGCAAGTATGTAGACCTCAGTAAGGATCAGCTACCCTCCTATGAGAGCCTGAAAGATACTCTTGCCAGAGCATGCCCTTCTGGAATGAAAAAACTGTCCCCCAGATTAAAGGGGAAAAAGGTTCTGATTGCAGCGCCTGGCAACAGCCTTCTAGGGCGTCATCAGGCCATCATAGAGCTGAACCTGCCAACTGACATTCCCGTTATCTATGAACTGGACAGAAACCTAAAGCCCATCAAACCCATGCAGTTCCCTGGGACAAAGACCATGTGTAAAGCCATGGTAGCTGTTGCTGCCCGGGGGAAGGCCAAGAAATGAAGGCGAACAGCTGATTGCTACCCCCATGGAACACCCTGCCCATTCATTTCTCTGTACCTCACACCACCTCTGTAGATCTTAAATTGTAGGTAGCTGCACATGGGGACCAGTGGCTCCCATTTTCACTCTTAGCCATTGTCTCTTGTATCTACCACTCCCTTCATAGAATTTAGTCAGAATGTCACTTTGGGGCGCAGGTTTGCAGCCTGAGCCCAGGGAAGGCTCATTTTATATTCAGGAGGGTTGAGTGATAGTAATTCCAGTTTTTCCTAGTGCTTTGTTTACTAAGGACCTGCTTGAGTAAGGATTAGGCAGGAACCAAGTCATGGCATGACCAATGAGAAGACAGTTCATTGTGAGCCTGGACCCAGTCCTAAGTTTTGGTCATCAGGTCCTTGTTGAGGAGCTGGAGTCATTCCAATGGAAGGTGAAAGTGTCCTGTATAGTGATTTCAAAACAGCTGTGTCTTCATGACTCCAGAGGTGGTGACTCCAGATGGTTGGAATCAATCCTGATATACATTTTTGTGTTACACTCACTTTTACATAAAAGGAAAATATAGATCTATCCATTTATATCTACACACACAGAGGGAACTGAACAAAAACCCTTCTGGGTTAGTAGAAGTAATTGAAAGAGACAAGTTGGGCACCAGTAGTGAACACCTGTAATCCTAGCTACTCAGGAAGGGGAGATCTAATCCAACCTGGCAACAGCCTTCTAGGGCATCATCAAGCATCTGAAAGGTCTCTGAAGAGGCCATCATAGAGCTGAACCTGCCAACTGACATTCCCATCATCTATGAACTGGACAGAAACCTAAAGCAACATTCCTAAGATTCTTATCTCCAATTAATCACAGAAAAAGCTGGAAGTGGCACTGTGGCTCAAGTGATAGAGTGCTAACCTTGAGCACTCAGGGACAGCCCCCAGGCCCAGAGTTCTAGCCCCCAGGCTAGCAAAAATATTTTTTTAGAAGGTGAGACAAATCTAAAGGTTAAAGATACTCAGTGAAGTCACCAGGATGCACTTAGCTTCTCCACCCACAAGTAACATGAAAGTGTTGGGCATAGTGAGTCACTGATAGGCAATAGGGGAACCTTTTCCTAATTCCAGTTTTACAGATGCCAATCAAAGTCAATGTTTCAAGCAAACCTTTGTAAGGAGTCTCTGACCTGGTTTTTGTTGTTGTTGTTTTAACCTCTATTCTATGCAGTAGTTCAGATCAGTGTTTGTAGTGGGGAGGAGGACCTGTTGGCACAGAGGCCAAGTGAGGGTAGTATGGTTATCTGCAGTGATAGGCAGTTTAGTATGGACTGTCAGAAACAGAAAATTTTTCATATACTGGTTAGGGGAAGTCTGGAATGAGAAACATGGACAGGAGAATCTGTGGATTTTTGTTTTTTGTTGCTGTTGTGCCGGTCCTGGGGCTTGGACTTGAATTCAGACTTTTTTGCTTAAAGCTAGGACTCTATCACTGGAGCCACAGCTCAACTCCCAGCTTTTCGTTGATTAGTTGGAGATAAGTCTCACAAACTTTCTTGCCCAAGCTTGCTTAGAATCACAATCCTCAGATCTCAGCTTCCTGAGTAGCTAAGATTATATGCATGAGCCATGGGCAACTGGCAATCTTTAAAAATGACTGGTTTTCAACCTAAAGGGGTTTCCAACCATTATGCCTAACGATTTGTCTGGACTAGTTTCATAATATGCTTCCCATCTGTTTTCCACAGAATAACTCCTTATAAAAATGGCCCCAAACTTTTGACATTACAATGATGTGAAAATACCATTTCATTCAGTAGAAATCATGCTCTGCCGTATACTGCCACCTTTCAGATCTAAAAATAAGCCCAAATTTTAACTGAGAACATTTGAGTTGGCTGTTTATCTGCCTAAAAAGTTTTTTTCCAGAGACTTGCCATTCAGAAGTTAGACTTCATTGCTTTACAGACCACCACTATTAATCAGCCACCTATTCTCTATAGCATTACTCTATTTCCTACATTATAGTATGTATTCACATAAAATTTTCCTTTCTTCCACTCATCTCTTCCTGACATATATGTGCTCCATATTCTACTTCCTTTGTTCTCCCTCTCTTCACCTTCAGTGGGTTTGAATTTAGGGCCTTGCATTTGCTAGGCAGGCACTCTTTTACCATTTGAGCTTTACTTCCAGCCCTGTTTTGCTGGTTTTGTTGGAGATGGAAGTCTAGCAATCTCTGCCTGGGCTGACATCAAACCTCCATCCTCTAGATCTCAGCCTCCCAAGTAGCTAGGATTACAGGCATTCGCCACGGGTGGTAACTCAGTTTTATAAGACTTTTATTTTTATTTCCTGGGGCATGAACTCGGGGCCTGAGCACCGTCCCTGAGCTTCTTTTGCCCAAGGCTGGCACTCTACCACTTGAGCCGAAGCGCCACTTCTGGCTTTTTCTCCTTCGGTGGTGCTGGAGAACCGGGGCTTGACGCAGGCCAAGCAAGCACTCCGCCATGAGCCACTTCCTAACCCTGCGCTTTTCTTTTACCAAGGTGTTTACTATTTGTATCGCTTCTAGACTGAAGTTCGCTTTACAGGGCCCCTAGGGCGTATTCTACAGGCACTCCGAGCTCATGAATGGCACACCCATGTTAGCACGCGACAGGTTCGAGTTTCCTCTCGTTCTTTTTGTTTTTTCCCATCACTTAGCCCCGGCTTCCGGTCACAGAGCCAGAGCTGCAGCTGTGCACCCTTCCCCCGGCTCAGGCACAGTTACAAAAGCGGGGATACTACCTAATTCATAAACTAAGTCACACAAGACACGCGAAAGCGCTCTCGGCCGCCACAGCCGCCGCGAAGACTCCAAGTCCACACGCCAGCGACCGCCACGGCCCCACGGGCCGCCGGGAAAAAGGGGCGGGACTCCGACGACGGGGCACGCACTTCCGCCCTCCGCGGGCCCTCGCAGCCAATCAGCGTCACTCTCCCCTCCCCTTCCGCCCCTGGAAACAGGGCCCCCCAGAGCATCTTCCGGCGGGAGCTGTGCGGCTCCTTATCATGGTGAGTTGGCCCCGGGGGCTGCGGGTTTGTGTCGTGGACGGGTCGTTTAACCTGTCCGCGGGGGCATGAAGGTCTTACAGCCGCTCGCACGAGGGCTCTTCGGGGGTCTTCCGAGTCACAGTCGGGCCCCCGAGAGAAGGCCCTGGGGTAGCTTTCGGTTCCTCTCGCCCCTGGACGAGTTTTCAACATCAGGACATTTCCTGGATGTAAAAATGAATTAGCCGGGCGCCGGCGGCTCACGCCTGGAATCCCCACTCCTCAGGAGGCTGAGGTCCGAGGGTCCCAGAGCCAGCCTGGACAGCCAAGACCGTGAGACTCTTATTCCTCGGAACTGCAAAAAGCCAGAGTGCCGCTGTGGTTCAAGTGGTGGGGCGCCCAGCCTTGAGCGCGAAAGCTCGGGCCCAGCGCCCAGGCCCCGAGCGCGAAAACAAAACAAAAGCCTCTCGACCAGCGTCGGCAGCCACGAGACCGACTAACAACAGAGCAGAAAGGAAAGCTGTAGCAACAGCAACCATAATATCGATGCAACAGCGGTGGTGATGTCAAGAGAAAGAAAAGCAGTAGGGTTTTAACGATGACACCCTATTCGGCAGCTCAAATTGATCGATTGAGTGGCAGACAGCTTAATACAGCAACAGCTTTCATTAGGACCAGTGTCTCGACGAAGTAAAGGTGCTGATAGATCTTTACTTCTGCACCAGTAGGAAAGAATGCTAGGTCCCAGTATGTGTTAAGGCTGTTAGGATATGGTATTTCCTGTAAGATTGACTAAAGGAATTAGTTGCTTTATGGTTAGCAATCCAGTAGTTCGGTCTCAGTTTTATCTGAAGGTAAGAGCTGGATGTGATGGTGCTTTTGAGGATGTGGCCAGATTGGACTACAAAACAACTTGTTACCTAATGGTAAGCAGGTAGTTGTGGTTTTTACTGTTCAGGTATTAGCCCAACCTGGAGCTAGTGGCTCTTGCCCGTAATCCTAGCTATTCTGGAGGCTGAGATGTGAGATGTAAGGTCAGTCCTGGGCAGGAAATACTTTTGTCCAAAAAACTGGAAGTGGATTTGTGGCCCAAACGGTAGAGCGCTAGTTTTGAGCAAAAAAGTTGAGGGACAGCCTCCAAGCCCTGAGTTCAAGTCACAGAACCAGCTGAAACACAATTTTTTTGTGTGCTTTTGGAAACTATCAGAAAGAACTCATAAAAAACAAAGAACTTCTTGATGGCCTTATTTATGAGAAAGGCATATTTCTGTGTCTTAGTTAACACTCAAAGTTTCTTAAGTGAATTAGATCGTAAAGTTCTTTCACAATATCATCTGTAATTTTTCTGTAATCCTGGGGCTAGGAATGTGGCTTAGTGGTAGAGTGCTTGTCTAGCATGCATGAAACCCTGGGTTTGATTCCTCAGTACCACATACACAGAAAAAGCTGGAAGTGGCACTGTGGCTCAGATACTCACCTTGAGCAAAAAGCAGCTTAGGGACAGTGCCCAGGCTCTGAGTTCAAGCCCCAGGACTGGCAAAAAAAAAAATCTGTAATCCTATTTGCACACAGAACATGGGTAAATACCAAACAGCCCTCAAAACCATCACCACTGTTTCTAAGATTTGACTGTATCAATTCCTTGCTTAGTTTCTCCCCTTCATCAGGTGTAACTCCACCCCGACCCTCAAGACATGTATGATATAGTCAAGATTCTCCTCCTGACAGCCTGTTTTTCACACACAGACACAATGCCTGCTTATATTCTGATGCAGTGAATAGCTTGCAAATCTAGGAACTGGACCTTTGTACCTAATTTGTATATGCTGTTCTATCTGCCTAACTTATTCTTTCTTTCTCTCTTTTTTTTTTTTTTGGGTCCAGTCGTGGGGCCTGAACTCTGGGCCTGGGCGCTGTCCCTCAGCTCTTCAGCTCAAGGCTAGCACTCTACCACTTGAGCCACAGCGCCACTTCCGGCTTTTTTCTTTTTGCTTATGTGGTGCTGAGGAATCGAACCCAGGGCCTCGAGCATGCAAGGCAAGCGCTCTACCACTGAGCCAACTTCCCAGCCCCCTAACTTATTCTTTCACCTACTCCCATGCTTATCAGTGTAACCCTTATGTGTCCTCAGTTTTATTTCAAAAGAGCCTTTCTGGGCTGGGAAGATGGCTGCCTGAGGCCCTGGGTTCGATTCCTCAGCACCACATAAGCAAAAAGAAAAAAGCCGGAAGTGGCGCTGTGGCTCAAGTGGTAGAGCGCTAGTCTTGAGCTGAAGAGCTGAGGGACAGCACCCAGGCCCAGAGTTCAGGCCCCACGACCTGACCCCCCCCCCAAAAAAAAAGAGAAGAGCCTTTCCCCATCCCCAACATTTTTTTTGTAAGAATGAAGCCCTAAATTCAAACTATACAATCACTAAAATACCTATTTTTTTAAATACGTAAGCAACAATTTCATCATGTAAAGATAAAAACCATACCATAAAGATAAAAACCACACCATAAAAGCTTGCCCCTCATGAAGAGTGGGGCCACCTAAAAACACTCATAAAGAGTGGGGCACTGTGACCCATGCCCATAATCCCAGCTACTCAGGAGGTAGAGATCTGAGAGCTAGCCCTGGTATACAAATCTGAGAGGCTTATCTCCAATTAACTAGAAAAAAGCAGAATCTAGAAGTGTGGCTCAAGTGATAGAGCGCCACAGTACATTTATGAAGGGATATGAAGATGAAGGGAAAATAAAGAGTTAAATTATATACCTTCTTTATGTACAGCTTTAACATGTAAATTTGACTCTGCTTATTATCAGTAGTGTTTATATCTCATACCAGACTGTTAGAATTATGTAGTTGCTTGTCTTTCTCCCTGTGTAGACTGTAAACTCATTAAAACATGGTATTCCCAGATGCTTGATTGTACAATGGTTGGCCCAGGGTTTGTTTGTTTTTTTATTGTGAAAATACCGTACAGAGGGGTTACAATTACATGAGCAAGGTAATGAGTACATTTCTTATCAAGCATTGTTGCCTCCTTCTTTGTTTCCCCCTCCCATCCCTTCCCATCTCCAACCCCCCTCAAGTTTTTAAATAAATATATTTTATAGAATAATAAATATTTGTGCTTGTAACAGTGATACAGGAGAATTGTGTGTGTGTGTGTGTGTGTGTGTGTGTGTGTGTGTGTGTCTTTCTGTCTACCTGTTGCCAGGGGATTGAATTTAGAGCCTTTTTGGTTGTTACTGTTTTTGTGCTAGTCCTAGGGCTTGAATTCAGGGCCTGGATGCTATCCCTGAGTTTTTCTGCTCAAGACTCTACCAGTTGAGCCACAGTTCCACTTCAGTCTTTTTTTTGGTGGTTAGTTGGAGATAAGAATTTCATGGCCTTTCCTGTATGGGCTGACTTTGAACAATGAGCTTCAGATTTCAGCTTCCTGAGTACTTAGGATTACAGAAGTGAGCCACCTGCACCTAACTGAGCCTTGTTTTTTAAACAAGCATTCAACTCTGAGCCATCCCCTAAGGTTTATTTATTGGTGCAGGTCCTGGAGCTTTAACTCAGGGCGAGCTACTGGCACATGGTGATTTTTTTATTTATTTTTATTTGGGTGAGGCAGTATTGGGGTTTAAATTTAGCTTTGCATTTACTAGACAGGCAGTCTACTACATGAGCTACACCCACACCTCACTGATTTTTTTTAAAGATATTTAGAAAACACCTTTATGAGCTGTGTTTATTTATAAAAACATGTGTTCTTAGAAAATGTGAAGCCATGGGCTGGGAAGGTGGCTTAGTGGTAGAGTGTTTGCCTAGCATGCATGAAGCCCTGGGTTCGATTCCTTGGTACCACATAAGCAGAAAAAGCCATAAATGGTGCTGTGGCTCAAGTGGTAGAGTGCTGGTCTTAGGCTAAAAGAAGCTCAGGGACAGTGCCTAGGCCCTGAATTCAAGCCCCAGGACTAGTCAAAAGAAAAAGGAAAGAAAGCAAGCAAGCAAGCAAGAAAAAATGTGAAGCCAGTGTAGCCATTGTCGTTAATGAAATTACTAAAAACTTATACTGGAAGATAGCAAGATGAATACACTCCTGTAGTTAATCAGAGTACCATCAAAAGCACTAGGTTAGTGTTTGCTTGTACCCTTCTGGGCAAAAGTAAATTTTGCCTTGCTGATAGAGAGGGGAAAAAAGCCCCACTAGGTGTAGTTAGACTTCATATAAGAGCTGACACTGAGCCAAGCGCTGGTGGTTCAAGTCTGTAATCCTAGCTACTAAGGAGGCTGAGATCTGAGGATCACAGTTGGAAGCCAGGCTGGGAAGTCTTGTGAGACTCTTATCTCCAATTAATCACAGAAAATGCCAGAAGCAGTGCTGTTGTATAAGTGGGAGAGTGCTAGCCTTGAGCAAAAGGGGTTTAGGAATAGAGCTAGGCCTTGAGTTCAAGGCCCAGGACTGGCCAAAAAAAGAAAAAGTGACACATGAAATGGTACTATGAGGAAACAGGCATCTGAGGGAGAGCTTGGATTAGACAAGCCTGGAGTGCTCATGGGATAAGCTGCATTTAAAGATTTCTATCTGGAATAAGAATTAGAAAGAAATGGATAAAGTTGTTACAAAGTTGGGATTTTAGATTGCGAAATACGGAGTTTGTCCTGATATTGACAGTTAATATAGTGTTTGATTGTTCTGGAACTTTGATCAGTGTGGAGCAGGAGCTTTATCTTTTTTTTTTGCCAGTCCTAGGGCTTGGGCACCATCCCTGAGCTGCTTCTGCTCAAAGGCTAGCACTTTACCACTTTACCACTTGAGTCACAGTGCCACTTCTGGCTTTTTCTGTGTATGTGGTACTGAAGAATCAAACCCAGAATTTCATGCATGCTAAGCAAGCAATCTACCACTAAGCCACATTCGCGGCCCAGGAACTTTATCTTTTACAAAACCTTGCTGAGCCAGGCACAAATGGCACAAGCCTGTAATTCTGGGCACTCTAGAGGCTCTTAGGATCCTGGTTTAATTAACCACCAAAAATCTGTAAGTAGAGCTATGGCTTAAGTGGTAAAGCCTTGAGCATAGGGACCACAGTCCAATCCCTGATCTCAAGCCTCAGGATAGAAACACAAGTGCACGCATATGCACGCAGGAATACACACACATGCACAATGGTTTAGTTATTCCTTTTTATCATGAAAAAATTCATACATAAAAGTACATATCACTGAGCATCAACAGTTATAAATATTTTCTTATACCACAATGTAACAGCATTTTCTGCTTTTTGTGTGTGTGTGTGTCTGGTTGTGGGGCCTGAACTCTGGGCCTGGGCGCTGTCCCTCAGCTCTTCAGCTCAAGGCTAGCGTTCCACCACTAGAGCCACAGCACCACTTCCAGCTTTTTTTTTCTGCTTATGTGGTGCTGAGGAATCGAACCCAGGGCCTCATGCATGCAAGGCAATCGCTCTACCACCGAGCCACCTTCCCAGCCCAGCATTTTCTGCTTTTTTGGGGGTCTGAACTCTGGGCCTGGGCACTGTCCCTCAGCACTTCAGCTCAAGGCTAGCTCTCTACCACTTGAGCCACAGCACCACTTCCAGTTTTGTGAGTGGTTTATTGGAGATAAGAGTCTCACTGCCTTTCCTGCCCGGGCTGGCTTTGAACCGGGATCCTCAGATCTCAGCCTCCTAAGTATCTAGGATTACAGGTGTGAGCCACCATGCCCAGCTGGAATATACATACTTATAAATACTGAAATGTTTTTTAACAATGTAGGAAAACCATGCCTTCATTTGAATTGAATCAGAAAGTTTTTCACATTAATACCCTAGTTCCAAGGCATTCTAGGACTTTAGTATTTCAGTCTAATTAGTTAACTACACTGAGATAGACTATAATATTTTTGTTATATCAAAGAAAGCATTTGTTAAAATTCAAATATTTAGGTATCTGGTGGCACTTAGTAATCAAATTATTAAGTATGACCTTTTGACAATCCTGAAAGGCTTTTCTCCCCAAGGTGAAACAACTACTTGCTCTTGGAAACTTTGTCACATAAGTAAGTCAGTAGGGCCATGACTTTTCAGCATGTAAAAAGTTTAATATTCTTGAATGATTAGCACCTAGTAAGCATAGTATTGTTCGCTAATATTCCCATTATTGCCAGAAAGTAGGAGTTCAATTAATTATAGCATACAATTTAAATTCTGCCTTGTAGTTTTCCTTATAGACATAGGTTTTTTCCCCTTAGGTCTATACCACACCCCCACTCCAAGATAAAATTATGCATAAAATTATGTCAAATATTTATTTATTTATGTGCCATTATTGAGACTTAAATTCAGAGCCTGGGCTCTCTCCCTGAGCTTTTTTGCTCAAGACTAACACTCTCACTTGAGCTATAGCTCCACTCGCAGCATTTTATGGTTGATCGGAGAGAAGAGTCTCAGACTTTTCTTGGCCAGGCTGCCTTCCAAGTGCAATTCTCAAATTTCAGCCTCCTACGTAGGATTTCAAATGTGAGCTACTGATACCTGGCCAGTTTTATGTTTTACGTTTTTGTGTATGCCGGTATGGAGGCTGAACTTAGGGCCTGGGTGTTATCCCTTAGCTTTTTCACTCAAGACTGGCACTCTATTACTTGAACCACAGGTAGTCCCATGCTGTGTACTAGCAAGAGCCATGGAGACTAGCTAGGATGTCAGATGCTTTGACTGAATGTCCAAAAGAAAAATCTCAGGGATTTTCCTTTAATAGTTGCCAGGACTTTCATTTGTTTAGTTTTAGTTAGGTGAACTATCAAAGTTTTGCTGTATTTGCTTGTTTTATTTTTTCTGAACTTCAAAAGGTTGTACAAAGGGTTTACAATTTAATCGGTCCACCTAAGTGTTCAGGGCTTCTGATCATCACTTCCAGCATTGTCCCCAGCCCATCGGCTTCCTCTCCAGATTCATTTTACATTTCTTGTTTCCTTTATCACATATGTATATTGAAAGTGTTGTTGTATTAGTCCTGTGGCTTCTTTATTCATCCACCTCCTCCCACTAAACTCCCCCCCATACACTCTCATTCATCTTCCTGATACTCATTTTAGTAAATGAATGTGAATTGTTTGAAAGGTTCACGCCTGCATATACTATGGTCTTCTGAATTGTGTATATAAGCATGTGCTTCTGTGTGTGTTTACTTGGGAGGTTGTGTTTTGATTAGAAGATTCACATATGAGGGGCTGGGAAAGTGGCTCAGTGGTAGAGTGCTTGCCTTGCATGCTCGAGGCCCTGGGTTCGATTCCTCAGCACCACATAAGCAAAAAGAAAAAAGCCGGAAGTGGCGCTGTGGCTCAAGTGGTAGAGTGCTAGCCTTGAGCTGAAGAGCTGAGGGACAGCACCCAGGCCCAGAGTTCAAGCCCCACGACCGGACCAAAAAACAAAAAAAAGAAGATTCACATATGAGAGAAAACATGTGCCCTTTTTATTTCTGGGCCTGGTATTTTTCAGATTATAAGGTTTTCTTGCCTTACCTGCTTAAAAATCAAAAGTGCAATCTTAGGTGGGTGCAAATGGCTCACACCTATAATCCTAGCTACTCAGGAGGCTAAGATCTAAGGATCACAGTTCAAAGCCAGCCCAAGCAGAAAAATCTGTGAGACTCTTCAATTAACCACCAAAGACAGAAGTGGAGCTGTGGCTCAATTGTCAAAGCACCAGTCTTGAGTGAAAAAGCCAGGCAAGATTACAAGGTCTAGGTTTGGAGTTATGGTTCAGTTGGTATTGAAAGCAATGAATGAAACCATCAGGTACTACTGAGTTCAAGTACCAGTTTCAAACAAACAATTGGGAGGGAGGGAGGGAGGGAGGGAGGGAGGGAGGGAGAGAGAGAGAGAGAGAGAGAGAGATTGCAAGATGGCAAGTTAAAGCCCCAGTATTGGCACATCTAACAGTGCAATCTGAAGCTAAAATGCCTGGGTTTGCATTCCTTTTCAGCTATTTTCCCCACCTTTGTGATTTTAGACAATTTAATAACATTATTTACACCTCATAGGGTTATTTGAGTATTAAACCAATGAACACATATAAAGTGTTTAGAATAAGTGCTTGTCATATATAAAACACTCAATAAAATTTTTTGTTAATACTGTGTCCAATCACAGGAACAATGGAATATTAGATAACTTACATGTTAATTTGTATACTTTTATTTCAAAGGGGACAATTCATCTGTTTCGAAAACCACAGAGATCCTTTTTTGGAAAGTTATTAGAGGAATTTAGACTTGTAGCAGCTGACCGAAGGGTAAGTTATTTCTTTTTTTTGTTTTTTGTTTTGTTGCCAGTTCTGAGGCTTGATCTCAGGGTCTGGGCACTATCCCTGAGCTTCTTTTTTTTTTTTTTTTTTGGTCGGTCGTGGGGCCTGAAAGCTGGGCCTGGGCGCTGTCCCTCAGCTCTTCAGCTGAAGGCTAGCACTCTACCACCTGAGCGTCAGCCCCACTTCTGGTTTTTCTGCTTACGTGGTGCTGAGGAATCGAACCCAGGGCCTCATGCATGTAAGGGAAGCACTCCACCACTGAGCCACCTTCCCAGCCCCTCCCTGAGCTTCTTTTACTCAAGGCTAGTGCTCTACTACTCGAGCTACAGTGCCACTTCCAACTTTTTCTGTTCATGTGGTACTGAGGAATCGACCCCAGGGCTTCATGCATTCAGGGCAAGTACTCTACCACTAAGCCACATTCCCAGCCCTGTAAGTTATTTACCTCAGTTTTAATTATTGCATAAACAACTTTTAAAAATCACTGTCTTTGGGGGGGAGAGGGGAGGCTGGGAAGTGATGTGAAGGGTAAACAAAGGAGGAGGCTGCAATGCTTGGTAAGAAATGTACGCATTATCCTGCCCATGCAATTGTAACCCCTCTGTACAGTATTTTCACAAATAAAATTAAAAAAAATAAGGTAAAAAAAAATCACTGTCTTTCTTACTATTCTTCATTTTTATATGTTGGATAAGTATTTCTTTCATTCTTTTTGTTGTTGTTGGTCATGGGGCTTGAACTCTGAGCCTGAGTGAGCACTGTCCCTCAGCTCTTCAGCTCAAAGCTATTGCTCTGCCACTTGAGCCACAGTGCTACTTCCAGTTTTCTGGTGGTTAATTGGAGATAAGTGTCTCACAGACCTTTCTGCTTGGGCTGGCTTTGAACCATAATCCTCAGATCTCAGCTTTCTGAGTAGCTGGGATTACAGGCATGAGCCACTGGTGCCGGGCTGGGTAAGTATTTCTTTAGTGTAGAATTACAGTTGTTTTGCTTTGGTAAAAAGAAGCAGTACTTCAGTTCTTTTTTATTTCTTTTTTTCTTGTTTTGTTTTCTTCTTTGTTGTTTTATTTTGTTTTGAGATACAGTCTCCCTGTGTTCCCAAGCTGGCCTCCAGCTTTTTATGTAACCCAGGCTGTCCTTTAACGTGTTGTATGGTACTAGCTAGCTTCCAACTCTCCATCCTCCTATTTCAACCTCCTAATACTGGGATTACAGGTGTGCATCACCACACCCATCTGAAACATGTTGATCTTCCTTTCTGTTTCACTTAGGGAAAAGAAAAGAAATAATCAGAACAAAACGAAACAACAACCAAAAAAACCTTCTACATCTTATCATGAGCAAATCATGCAACACTTCCCTCCTATATCTGAGGGAACTGTCCAGTTATGTAGGGGCAATCCATTTTGCCAGTCATGTTCCTAAAACTTGGTTACTTCCACTAACTCATTTTATTCATTTGATTTTTTTTTTTGAGGGGAGTATTGGTCCTGGAGCTTGACCTTAAAGACTGGGCACTGTCCCTGAGTTTTTTTACTCAAGATTCGTGCTTTACCACTTGAGCCACATCTTCACTTCCAGCTTTTTGGTGGCTAATTGGAGATAAGTGTCTCATGGTCTTTCCTCCCTGGGCTGCCTTCAAATTGTGGTCCTCAAATCTCAGCCTCCTTTTTATTTCATTTTATTTGCCAGTTCTGAGGCTTGAACTCAGGGCCTGGGCACTGTCCCTGAGCTTCTTTTCTTTTTTGGGGGGGGGTCATCGTGGGGCCTGAACTCTGGGCCTGGGCGCTGTCCCTCAGTTCTTCAGCGCAAGACTAGTGCTCTACCCCTTGAGCCACAGCACTACTTCCGGCTTTTTTCTTTTTGCTTATGTGGTGCTGAGGAATGGGGCCTCATGCATGCAAGGCAAGCGCTCTACCACTGAGCCATCTTCCCAGCCCTCCCTGAGCTTCTTTTTGCTCAAGGCTAGCACTCTGCCACTTGAGCCACAATGCCACTTCCTGCTTTTTCTGTTTATATGGTACTAAGGAATCGAACCCAGGGCTTCATGCATGCTAAGCAAGTCCTCTACCACTAAGCCACATTACCAGCCCAAATCTCAGCCTCTTGAGTAACTAGGATTAAAGGATTGGAGACTTGAGCTGGTGATACCTGGCTTTATTAGAATTTTGAAACAGATTTTCATTTTTCTCCTATTGACTTTTTCATTACTTTGGAATTTCCTTTGCTACTTTTCCCTCTTCTTTCTGGCCTCTGAGTTTTGGAATGTGAGCTTGATCCAACCTCTTCTTTTTATGTTTATATATATTTAGGAATAATGGCTGGTTTCATCTGACTGCTGTGACTTTGATAATTTTTTCCCCTTCATTTTTTATTTTTTTTTAATTTGTGGTACTTGGGTTTTTGTTTTTTTTTGTCGGTCATGCGGCTTGAACTCTGGGCATGGGCGCTGTCCCTGCACTCTTCAGCTCAAGGCAAGCACTCTACCGCTTGAGCCACAGCACCACTTCCAAGGTACTTGGGATTTAAACAGACAAGTTCAGCACCTCTTACTTGCTAGGCAAACATTCTTCCTCTTGAGCCACTATTTCATATTTGTATTTCAAACCCTAATACTTCTCCTACCTCTGATTCCTATATATAATAGACTTCTCAGTATTTCCATCTGTATATCTAATAGGTCTTTCAACATAATATGTTCACATCTGAATTTGATCTTCAGACTCTTCCTCTTCACACTTCATTATTCTGGTGCTTAGGAATACTTAGTCAGAAAAATATAGTCATGATCATCTCCTTTCTGTCCCTCATTTCTCCACATATATAAGCAAATCTGCTACTTCTGTCTTCTATATAGTACCAGGTTCACATTGCCACACCCAGTGAAATTTACGTTCCCTATCCTTCTTTTCTGACATACAGAATCACTGTCCTTACGAGACCCATGACTGGTCATTAATAAATAATATCAGTAGTATCAGCATCATTTTCCTCATATCATTTCTCAGGTCTCTGATATCTCAATCCTAATGCTCCTTCATGGGATATTCTGTTCTTGGCTGTAGAAATTTCTGAACATTATCAAAAGTTCATGCTGGGTTTTTGTTTGTTTGTTTGTTTTGGGGTTTTTTTTTGGTGGAACACAGGGGCTAAGGATCAAACCTAGGGCCTTATACATGGGAGAATGTGCTCTGCCACCGAGCTACACATCTATAGACCCAATCTAGTAATTATTGTTATTATCTTTTTCTTTTTCTTCTTGCTAATCTTAGGGCTTGAACTCTGAGCCTGGTCACTGTCCCTAAGCTTCTTTTGCTCAAGGCTAGCATTCTACTACTTGAGCCACAGCTCCACTTCTGGCTTTTTCTGTGATTAGTTGAAGATAAAAGTCTCACAGACCTTCTTGCCTAGTCTGGCTTCAAACTGTGATCCTCAGATCTCAACCTCCTGAGTAGGTAGGATAACAGGTGTGAGTCACAGGCACCCAGCTGTTAAAATCATAGTATATTCAATAATATACTCATCACAACATCTTCTGAGATTCTCCTCTGGATTTTAGAAAATTGCCTTGTGGCTTTTCTAGAGTTGTGACTACCAGCTCTGTGCTACTTCACTTCCTTCCATCTCCAGTCTCTCTTCGTCTTTTATTACCTTCTCTTCTTTCTCAGAGAGGTGATTCTTTTCTTTTTTTTTTTAATTTTTTATTGTAAAGATACTATACAGAGGGTTACAGTTACATGAGTGAGGTAATGAGTACACTTCCTCTTGAACATTGTTAGCCCCTCCATTGTTTTACCCCTACCATCCCCTCCCTCCCTCCCTTCCCCGAAGTTCTTTTTTTTTTGATTGTGATTAAGTGATTACATAATTTCTAAGTCATAAATTCATTCTAACTTTCCTGGAGCAAATTGTCTATCACAGTCTGTAATATATAACAGTGTTCACATGTTATACACCATACATGTGATCAGCAGCATGGGGATATTTAGTAGTGGTTCAACCAGATGAGCAGGAGTTCTTTGTTTCTTAAGTCCTGTTAGTTTTGTCGAATCAGAGAGGTGATTCTTTTCTAAGCCTGTACCTTCCATCTGAGCTCTAAGATCAACTGACACCTCACCTTTACAACAAAAGCCTTCATGAAGTTCTTTCCTTTGCTTTGCAGGAAGCATAGGTCTCTGTTTGTAGAGCTTGGGAAATACTTGAAAATACTTTATTTTATTTCTGCCTTGATTTGTGTAATGCCCTTTCTTCTCTTCCTGACTAAATCCTAACTATTTGCAAGGCTATTTGCAGTCCCATTTGTAAATAATCACTTTTAGATTGCTCTTTATTTTGGTATAATTATAAAATTATAGAACACTTACAAAATTAGTATGGAGGACACTACTTTGCCTATACTCACGTACTGCTTATATGTTTTCCCATGAGCTTTTCATCACCTCTTTCTACGCACTTGTAGAGACAACATGGTATATATATAAAGCATTGTTTTCTTAGCTCTTTGGGAGTCCATGTTAGAATTCATCTCTTCAAAAAAATCCCCTTTTGGATTAACATTGACCAAGAAGTATGCTCATAGCCTAACTTACAAAATTATAATCCCTTTGTACAACTATTTAATAATTTTTGTTTAAAAAAACACTTCTGGAATCATTTTATTTATTTTGCCAGTCCTAGGGCTTGAACTCAGGCCTGGACACTGTCCCTCAGCTTTTGTTCAAGGCTAGCACTCTACCACTTGAGCCACAGCATCACTTCCAGCTTTTTCTGTTTATATGGTACTGAGGAACTGAACCCAGACTTTCATGTATGCTAGGCAAGCACTCTACTACTAAGCCACACTCCCAGCCCTGGAATCATTATTTTAAATTTGTCTATTATATTAATTTGAGTAATAATCATTTTGGTAGATATAGAAAATGTGACAAATATATTGAAGGAACTTGTGCTTATTCTTGTGAATATCAGAGTAAACAGCAACATCAAGCTGGGTGCCTATGGCTCACACCTGTAATCCTTACTACTCAGCAGGTTAAGATCTGAGGATGGAGCCGGGCGCTGGTGGCTCACGCCTGTAATCCTAGCTACTCAGGAGGCTGAGATCTGAGGATCGCGGTTCAAAGCCAGCCCGGGCAGGAGAGATCGTGAGACTCCAGCCCGGGCAGGAGAGATTGTGAGACTCCTATCTCCAATAAACCACCAGAAAACCGGAAGTGGCGCTGTGGCTCAAGTGGTAGAGCGCTAGCCTTGAGCTGAAGAGCTGAGGGACAGCGCCCAGGCCCAGAGTTCAAGCCCCACGACCGACAAAAAAAAAAAAAAAAAGATCTGAGGATGGCAGTTTGAAGCCAGCCAGGCAGGAGAGTCTCTGAAACTCTCACCTCCAATTAAACCAGGAAACTGGAAGTGGCAGCTTGGCTCAAAGTGGTAGAGCTCTAGCCTTGAGCAAAAATGCTTAGGGACAGTGCTTAGGCCTGGAGTTCAAGCCCCATGACCAATCAGAAAAAAGCAGCAACATCTACAGACCCAGTAAAATTTGTTAGCACTGTGCAAATAATAATGATTCTCCTCTTCACAGTCCTGGAAGATACTGTTGTTTGGTTCCATAAACTTGATATGCACTGGCTTCCTGCTTATGTGGTGCAGTTCTACTAACAGTATAGGTATGTCACTATTTATACTTGCATGGAGTTGCATTTTCATATTTTATTTTAGATAAAGCTATATTTTCCTTTACCTTGAATGTATTTTGAAATATATATAACCCAAATTCTTCAAACAAGAGATAGCAGAGGCAGGGAGAAAAATGGTCAAAGGGCTTTATGCATTTACTGCTTCATTTTTCCTGATATAAATCAGATTCTAAAGTGAGCTTTTGTACAAGCCCATTTTGGTTGTATATTAATCAATTTACTACATAATTGCCAATGCATGAGGTTGCACAGCTACTCCAAACTTATTTTTTAGGTAATATATAATTTCTGATATGAGCAAGTTGTTTAGCTATATTTTCTTAAGCTACCGCCAGTAGATCACACCTATAATTCTACCTACTCAGCAGGTTGAAACATGAGGATCACAGTTCAAAGCCAGCCAGGGCAGGAAACTCCATGAGACTCTTACTCCAATTAACTACCAAAAAACAGAAACTAGAGCTGTGATTCAAAGTAGTAGAACATTAGTCTTGAGCACAAAAGCTTGGGGACAGTACTCAGGTCCTGAATTCAAGCCCCAGCAATGACATACACACACATACACAAAAAGGGAGGGAAGTAGGGAAGAGAAAAGGAAGGAAAGAAAAAAGGAAAGAATCAGGGAAGGATTAAGTAACATTTTAATCAACCTTTCTGTTGTTTTGCAGCTTTAACCGCTTATACTTACCTGACCATTTTTGATCTTTTTAGGTAAGTTTTTTTTAATCTGATTTAGAACTAATAGGATTTGTTGTAACTGAATTTATAAAGACCTTGTTTTGCTCAAAGGAAAATGATTTGCTAAATAAGTAAATGTATCAACATAGAACATACATACAAATAACAGTTTAAAACTTATAAGAAAAATTTTACTTAACAACAGAAATGATAAACATTCAGGCATAAACCTCAGATGCACACATCCTATGTATGTTATTGTAAGGAAACTTGGTCACAAGCAAGAAACGGAGAAGCCACCACTTAAGAGGCCAAATTATAAGTCCTTATTGGAGAGCTGGAAGACTGCTGGTGGACTTATGGCTCAAAGACCAGCAACCCTGAATGCAGCAACTAGCACAAAGCTTCTATAGGCCAAAACTGCACAGAGTGTGTGGAATCAAATGCAAAAGCAAAGCAAACTAGATCAGGACATTAAAACCTAATAGGAAAGCAAGCCATCTAGGGAAACAATCAGGAAATCAAGGGCCAGTTACCTGGGGGAAGCATAGACCCAGTCTCCTTACTTCAGTGAAAACTTCAAAAATTGCTGGGTGCCAGTGGCTCATGCCTGTAATCCTAGCTACTGAGGAGGCTGAGATCTGAGGATTGTTGCAGTTCAAAGCCAGCATGGGCAGAAAAGTCCATGAGACTCTTATCTCCAGTAAACCACCAGAAAACTGGAAGTGTACCATGGCTCAAGTGGTAGAGCACTTGCCTTGAGCTGAAGAGCTGAGGGACAGTACCCAGGCCCAGACTTCAGGCCCCACGACTGGACCCCCCCCCAAAAAAAAAAAAGAGTCTTACAGACTTCCCTGCCCAGGCTGGCAGATCATGACCACCACACTGCCCAGCTGTGATATATATTTATATATAGGTAAACATAGTATCTACAATATAAATTAAGTACTAGTCATAGCTTCAGGTATCCATTAGGGGTGTGGGAATGTATCCTCTTCATGAACGGGAGAATTGTAAATGAGAAGTAAGGCCAGGCATAGTGGTTCACAGCTGTAATCCAAAGACTTTGGAGGCTGAAGCAAGAGGGTCATGAGTTTAAGGTTAAACTTTGCTATATAGTGAGTTCATGGAGAGTTTGGGTTACATAATGAGATCTATCTGAAAAAGAAAAAACTGGATTCAAGGGAAGAAGGATGAATAAATGTAGTCATTATAATCAATGTACATTATGTAACAAATGAACTGTGTAACATGAGGATGGGGATGAGAGGGGAAAATGAGGGAGAAGAAAGGGATGACATTGACCAAGAAGCATTGTCCTCATAACCTGATGTATGGAATTGTAACCCCTTTATATAACTACTTAATAGTAACTTATTTAAAAGAAGAAGAAGAAGAAGCCAGGTGCCAAGGCTCATGCTTGTAATCCTAGCTACTCAGAAGGCTTGAGAGATCTTAGGATCATGGTTCCAAATCAGCCCAGGCAAGAGAGTCCATGAGGGAATGTGGCTTAGTGGTAAAATGCTTGCCTAGCTTGCATGAGGCCTTAGGTTTGATTCCTTCATACCACATAAGATTAATAACGTACAAGGAAAAATAATCATTGAAATTATTAAAAAACAAAAAAGAAAGTTAATGAGACTCTTATCTGTAGTTAACCAC